TCATTTGACTTGAAAAAAAATTTATATAAAAATTCTTTTAAATAATAAGCTTTATAAGGAAAATGATTATATACGATAGAAGGAAGTTAAACGAGAGGAAGATATTTGCATATCTCTTAATTAAGATTCCCTGTCATTAATGGTGGGGGTTTGAAATCACTCAAATTGATTTTAAATCTCACCCCCGCTGTGTACGTTTCTTTATTATTATTAAATAATTTTTTAAATCGCGAACAACTTATTTAAACGTTAGATAAATTGATTATACCGTCAAAGATCTCATTTGACTTGAACAAAAATTTATATAAAAATTCTTTTAAATAATAGACTTTAAAAGGAAAATGATTATATATGATAGAAGGAAGTGAAACGAGAAGAAGAGATATTTGCATATCTCTTAATTAAGATTCCCTGTCATTAATGGTGGGGGTTTGAAGATGTGAGTATAAACGTGGAAGCTTAAAACCGGCTTTGGGTGTTGTTAACGAGCGAAGGTTATCGTTGAGAGACGATGATCCTATTACGTTCTCAAGCGTACTCGTATAACCGAGTGGAATCGAAGTGAACTTTTGCAAAGAATCGACACGAAAATGACTTGGCTAGGAAAACGCCTTTTCCTCCATCAAATGAAATCAGATAAAAAGAGATAGAAAGAAGTCGGTAAAAGGGATGAGGGGGTGGAGTTGGAAGAGAAAATTTTCTGCAATATCGTTTCAGTATATTACCGGGCGTAAAAGTATACGCTGGCGTACACACACACAAAGTTCACTCTTAGTGTGCAACGTCGAGTTGCACTTTATCAGTAGCGCGGGCTTTTATGTAGCTTTTAAAAGCTTGACGAAAAAAAAAACACAAAATAAGAAAGAAAGAAAAAAAAAATAACACGAACGTTCGATCGAAGCGGCCTCTTTCGTTTTCCGCGTTTCCTTTGATATGACGATCAAAAGACCACGAGGAAAAGCAAGCAATCGGTTTTCTTTTTGAAAAACCTAAATAACGCTTGTGCACATAATCGATAAAGTTTCATATAATACATTTTCTCGTAAATCGTATAATAATTAGAAATAAATTTAGTTTCGTTAGAAATTAAGGATCTAAAAGAAACAATTTTAGAAATGATTCATTTGCATTTGATGTTATATTGAAATTTAAATGATTTTTTAGTAATAATTATTCTAAATCATATATACATATCTTTTCGAGTGTTGTCAAAATATAGGATAAGAGTTTTGTTTAAGAAAGTCTCGATGTTAAATGAGTTCCGGAATGTTGGGAAAAACAAAAAAACTAGGATAAGGAAGACTCGAAAAAAGCTGTGGAATTCGACGTTAGCTTATCTGAAGAATGCCACGAGAGGAGTGAAATAGAGGAATAAGATGAAGAAGAGGAACAAGAGAAGATAAAGAAGAAGAAGAAGAAGAAGAAGAGGATGAGATGGAAGTAAATAAGAAGATGATGTGCATCGGAATGGAATGGTGGAAAAGGAAACACCAATACAACACAACGTACCGGATTCTAAACGGCCTCACTCTCCTATTTCTTTCTATTTCTATTTTCTTACTAGAGTAATATAGCTTTTAACTAATGTAAGCTATTTTAATACACGCACAGGATAAAGGAAGATGATTGATTAAATTTCTTCGAGGTACAGACGACGCCTACGAAGCACGTAATTGAAGGCACGTTTTATTTATCAGTCGCAATTCTTACGGTCCGCGAATCGGCGCCTCCTTCGTGTCGATAAGAGTCTACTTTACTTGGAAATAGTCTACGAATAAACTAATTTATCTTACATCTTTTTTCTTTTTTTTTTTTTTTTTTATAGTTATCGTACGTATAAATTATACATAAGTACGTTAAAGAAAAGGAAAATGTATTAATATTGTGGAATGTAAAGATTGAAATTAAATATAATACGAAACGATACTTTTAATTAATTTTATTACTAATTAACGAACTTTCTTTTAATTATTTGCATTTATATACGAGTATTTATTTCCATATGAAATATTAAGATGTTTATTTTATATCGATACAGACATTAAACCGATTTCATCGGAATTTAGATACGTTCCTTGTTCAATTGTATTTGCCATGTGTATTTAAATTGGTGCACAATTTAAAAAGTTGTTCAAACGTTATTCTAAATCAGTGTTGAACGGAATCTTGATGAGTATAAAAATATTTGATTAAACTCTTTCCCGTAATATGATGAATAATATATTAATACAATGTAAAATAATTAATCATAAATTCTTGAAAACTCTTGGAAAAATTGCGTTGAACCCCAGGGTTCCAAGGAAAAAAAAATCGAAGATTACTGTTCTATAAACCACATATAACAATAAAACCAATAATCATTCTTAACTTCTTAATTTGTTACCATTTATCGTAGAAATGAGTTTTGATATTAATACAACGTAATAAATCTAAACAATAATTCGTGATACCCTTGGAAAGGTTGCATGGAACCCCATATAACCCCAAGAGTTCCGTGAAAAAAATAGTTTGAAGATGACTGTTCTATACCATACTAAAAATAAAACCAATAATCATTCTTCATTTATTAACCTGTTACCATTTCTCTTAGAAAATAAATTTCAAGGTGTATCGAAAATAATATACAGAGGGCCGAATAACGTGTTAATTATGAAAAGAAAATTAACGAGGTAACATGCAAGAGGTTAAATACTTTTTCTTTTCTATGACGTCACGGATAAATATATATCGTTTCTCGATATTAAATTCAGAGAAGCACTTTATTCTGTTAGCCGATCGTTAGTAGAAACGAAGAGAGAAATAATAACCGAGTCCTCTTTTATTTTTCCTTTATTTTTTCGAAGACAGAATAAATTCTGTATTACATGTATATAACCATCACACATATATGTATACCCATATATATATGTATATATGCAGTTAAGGTAGAACCAGTTCTTCATCATCGTGGCGAGAAACAATATATTATCGTATCGATTGTCCGCCCTCGAGCGAACTTACGAACGAATCGAACGAGCATCTACAAAACCGATCTCGACTATTATCCCTTCGACCTTTCTCGCACGCGAAATCTCGACGGAAAAGAACAAATTCGCGCGTAGGTGAACAATACTAACGTATCGAACCGACGATAAAAAAGAAAAAAAAGAAAAAAAAAACGAAGTAATAGTAAAAAAAAGAGAAATATATACGGAAGAAGGGAGTAAAGAAAAAAAAAGTAAGTAAATATTTGAATATTAAACACGAGATCGTTTAAATTGTATCGAACCCATTAACAGAAAAATTCTAACCACACAGAACATAATCGTATCGAAAAATGATAAAATATATGTGAAAGCTGAAGAAAAAAAAAATATATTACACAAGTTGGATGAAAGCCGAAAAAGACCTATGTATTCCCTTTGGTGTTCACAGATTTGCGGAAAGATAAATGTTCCTTGTATCTCACGGTGTGATAACAAAAAGAGAAAGATGGTGAGTAGTTTTAGGTGAAAAGAAGTAGAAGTAGAGGAATAAGGGAAAAATGAGTTGAAGGAGGATCGGTTTGTGGAAAGGGGTAGGGAAGGAAAGGGAAGGGAAGAGAGAGAAAGAAAAAGGTGTGCAGAGCAAAGTACAAAAGGAGGGGTCATGAAACCGCAGGCCGTCGGCTATGGTAGATTATCGACTGGTGCAACTTTGCGCCAGGGAGTGGGCCGAACGAAGGACCGAACAAGGGATAGGGAGGGGGACCAAGGGTAAAATGCGCTATCGTCGAGCATAAATCCGCAGATACGACGTGAAAGCCAAAGCAAAAGCATCGAGAAGGATTTCTTTTTCTTCCGGATCCCTGTTACTGATGTTCTTCTTACTCTTCCTTACTACTATTGCTATTTTGCTGTTACTATAGTTCAGAATTTTTTTTTGTATTTTCTAAGATAAATTGTTAATCTCTTCGAACTTATTTTACAATTAAATGACTCGATTTTGTTGCTTTCATTTTGTTAGAAATATATGAATAATATTTTGTTCAATCCATTTAGAATGGTTAACAGAGAAAAATATGATAAATTTAACGTAATGATTTTTTTTGTATAGAATATAAATAATTTTTACAAATGTAGATGGATTTGGTATTAGATCCAAAATATAAAATAATATGTTAAACTTTTAGTATAAAGAGATCCTAATTGATAAGAAATATATATGTATATTTAGATCTTGAGATTGTTCATTGCATATACTTGCATTGAAATCACTAAAAATAAAATAACTTGGATTTGTTTCTTCGTGTTTCTTCAGAATATTAACAAGTTTGCAATTGTAGATGAATTTGGGATTAGATATGAATCATAAAAAAATGATAAATCATTCTTAAAGATCTTATTTGCTTCTAAATAAATTTATGTTACATTTATGTATAAGATCGTCTACGCGGACAGCAAATTGTTCAACGTTCTAACATTGACTGGTCATTACTTATACGAGTTTGTCGATAACGCTGATTTATGACTACAAAATATCGTTATTGGGAGTAATATTGTAGAAAGACCGTTGTCTGGTATCTACCCACGCAAACGTCTCGTGCTTTCAATTCTCATGTAATTACATAAATACAGAAATTTAATATCCTCTTACATTTTTACGATTTTCTATAATTCAATAAAATACTTTTCCTTTCCTTTTTCTTTTTCTACGAACAATGCAAACGTTACGTCAACTTTTTTGCGCATTTAAAACTACGATAAATTCTAATTAATATTTATAAAACATGATTGTGTGCGTATCTCGCATTTTATTAACTTTCATTGTTATTCAAAGAATCAATCATGCGAATTAAAGATAGAATTTCTAATACAGAGATTATATATATGTTAGACATATAATAAAACGCAAAAGACTGTATTTTGCTTGTACCGAATAAAAAAAATATAATACAAACGAGATAAAACTGCGACAAGAAACTCCCATTAAAGTTCGATAAATCGATATGGAAGATCGTAATGGATGTTACAGCTTCTTACCTTCAAGATTTGCCATAGAAAACCTGTAGCTGTCGATTCTCGGAGTATTAATGTCCGAGTTGAAGGGCCTGAGGGTTGCCGAGCTCACATTATCAAGACCCTGTAACAGAAATAAAAAAAAAGAAAAAATTAAATTCAGTAATCCTTAAATCGATATTCCCAAGCAGGAAAATACAAAATCTATGATATCGGAATGAAATGGGTCGGAATTGGATAGAAATGGAGAAGTAAAAAAGGGTGGGGGAGATTTGATAAAGTTGAACATTTCATTGGTGGATCAGGAATCTAATCCTTTTTAAATCTCAACGTTTTCACCGGGTTTTATAGGAAAATCGATTTGTAGAAGATCGTCGATTGGGTCACCCAATTTCCGCCAGCCGTTCGAATAATTTCAAGGCAAGTGGAGGATGAGGAGGATAAGAGATTGATAGTTGTGCACTGTAAAGGGTTGCTGGTTTCGAACTACTACTACATGAAGGGGTTAGCATTCGTTGGAAGAATATTTGAAGAGGGATCGATCAAGTAGTTCGTATTTTCTGCTGGTTTCGTTCGACGAATATTACCTAACAGGGAACTTCGGTAGGTACGCGAAGTGAAATGGGATTAGAAGGGGGTAACATCTTGCGCGTAAATCTATCGTGAAAGCGAATTTCATGGGATATAATCCCAAGGACTCCTAGAATATTCGTATTCGTGGAGTTCCTACGGATTCAATGTACAGATTTCTCCAACACAGAATAATATCCTATGAATTTGGATGATGGGTAATCAAGACAAAAGGCTATTCATGCATGTTTAGATCTTAGATATAGTGGCACTCCAATTCTAAAATAGTTAAATTCAAAGGACACTTTGATTAACATTTGAAATCCTATAATTTCAATTCAGTGAGTTATCTGTTCTTATTATTTCAAATCATTGTTTTAGAAGGATATTATGAACAAAGTTATAAATAAAACAATAGACAAGTTTGTATCAAGTATTTTACGAAATGTTTAAAGACATGAATTCAAAGAACACTGATTCATACCTAAAATCATAAAATTCCAATTAATAAGGTTACGTGTTCTCACTATTTTAAAGAGTACAATAAGCAAAGTTTTATAATAGAAAAATGTATATTAATTATTTCATCAAGTGTTTAATATTAAAGTTCTAAATTGAAAGGACACTGTGATCGATATCTAAAGTCTTAAAATTCTAATTAATGGGAGTTACGTGTTCTCAGGTTATAGAGAACCACTGTTTTAATGGATACTATGAGTAAAGTTCTATAATAGTAAGATAGTAGAGTATGTATCTATCGTTTTACCGGGTGGTCAACACTAAAGACGCGTTCTACGAAAGAAAAGAAATTTCTCTAGCGTTCGACGAACGTTGGAGGTTCTCTCTCGCGGATCGCAAAAGCCGTATATAGCCTGCGGACTTCCGCGTTTTGAGCCATTAGCTGTAAATAATGTGCAAGAGAGAGAGAGAGAGAGAGAAAGAGCTTGGTAGGCCGCGTTCAAGCGTGTGTACACGGAGTGTGTTATACTCTGCGCTTAATCAAGCAGGATCGTCTAATACACACAAGCAACCGCACACAATGGCACCGTACCTTCGAACACACGACAAAATGTTGACTCGACGATATGCTCTATCGAGTGTACCACGAACCTTACCATGTATATTCACGTATGTGCACCTGTACGTGTGTTTGTGTGTATGTGCGTATGGATCAGGGTGCTCGAGAAACTTCTCGCTCAACTTAAACTATGCATATATGCGTCTAAACATAGTACGGATAATATTAAGATAACAGATATCTTAAATGGAACGTGATGAATTTGTTGTAAAGATTATTATTATTATTAGAAAAATGATCGAATTTATGATAAAACTTCGAATAAAATGTCAGTTAATTATTGGTTTGATTTACTCGGACGAAATTTTATGAGAATCAAAATGTAATTAGACTCGATAGGTGCGTTTGCGTTTCTAAGAAAAACGTCAAAGTTAGCAGATTATGGGATTGGCACGCAAGCAGGCAGGCGTTCGCCACGCGTCATTGAGAAATTCTAACGCCATCGATAATAAATGTGACGAGGAATAGTGCACACGCGTCGGTAGTCACGACGCTTCGTCGCCTTTTTCAATGTGGTGTTACTGCTACTGTTGCTGCTGCTGTTGGTGCTACTAGTGTTGGTTGCTGGTGCGTCTAATGTGACTCTACTCGTTATAACGTAACCAGTGGAAGCTGACAGAGGAAAAAGAAAAAAGTGAAGAGAAAGAAAGAAAGAAAGAAAAAGAGATAGGAACGGGACAATTAGGTCCCGTCGAATAAACAGACTCTTCCTGTAACTTGAAACCCATGGACGCAATTATACACTTCTTCTACTAACTTTGATCTTCCGTCAGAATCGTTAGGCCCGTTGTCTGTCAATAATTAATCAATCGAAAAGTAGAACACACGTCATAAAGATAAATAATAGATTTCTAATTTTAATACAAATTATTACAATATTTTCTTTGTAAATTCAAATTGGCTGATACTTTTACGATCTTTGTTTCGTAAAAACGTGCAGAAATTTTGTATACTCGTTATGCTAATTTATTCCGAAAAAAAAGAAAAAAAAAAAGACAGAAAAATAAAACGAACTACTCTCGACGATGTTACTTACAAAATTATGATTCTTGGCCCTTTAACGGGCATACGCTATTTCTTTAATGTTTTCTTGTAGAGAAAACACGGGGTAGAATAAGAAAGGAAGCTGAAAACGAGCCTGGCGCCGGTTTATTTTCGGCGAGACCTACGAGCCTTTATTACTATACTAAGACAGTATTTCCGTTTAATTTGACTACTCAAAAGGAACAAGAACACCCCTCTTTCTCTTTCTCTTTCTTTCATGTAAGTGTAAATATCGATCGTATAACCAAATTCAAGACAATTGTCTGTTCCTTAGAATCAATTAAAACCAAAAATTTTTTTTTCTTTTATTAATAGTGGAATATACAATCAATTCTCAGCGAGAATTACAAGTAATTTTTGCTGACGTGATAATACATTGACATGAGTTATAAGTTTAAAAGAATGTTACAATGATAATAAAATCAAACATAAAGCAGAAAACATTATCAAATTTTCAGTAGAATTTTCAAACAAGAACGAATCATACTCCTTGGTGTTCAAAATTCACGAGAAAATAGGCAAGAAAAGCAACTGTAATGAGTTCCATGGGATAAAAAGAAGGAAAGAGGAGGAAAGGATAAAAATTAGCATAAATTCGTGGCGAGTTCTGGCGCGTAAAACATTTATCGTAAAAAGCATGGAAGCAGAAGAAGCAAACCATCTCCACCACCACCACCACCCCCACACTGAACAGGCTTAGGAGTGCGTGTGGAGAGCTTAACAGCGATATTTAAATGCCGTTACTGACTGTGAGTATAGGTGGGTTTCAAGGAGGGAAGGTAAAACAAGAGTCGGTAGAAGAGCGCTTTACATACGATTTGCATTTAACATTCCGAGTCAGGAAGATGAATTTAACGTTGAGACTCTCGATGGTGTATACACCATCGAATTCTTCCTTCTTTTTCTTATTATTCTTCTTCTTCTTCCTCCTCCTCCATTGTATCTATCCTTTTCAAAGACCCTATTACCTTTCATCGATATCGATATTGCATCCTAAATTGGGTATCAGTTTACTTTAATTTTCGGATCGTTTATTGGATGCACAAAAATATTCCCACTCCCAATGTTTTACTGTTATTTTACTGTTTACTTTTATTATTTTTATCTCTTCAGTTTTGTCTTTTTATTTTCTCGTGATGTAGGAATGAAAAGCAAAAAAAAAAAAGAAAAAGGATGAGAAAGAAAAATAAGAGTCGGGACGGTGTTGTTGGCAGCTTTGAATTATGTGTGTTTGCACGTACCAGAGTGTCGTTTAAACTGCAACTAAGTTTATCGCGACGAGACTCGAAATATTACCGAGGATTCATTATTTTTTTCTTCTATTTTCTTTTATCTTGAACATTTTGCTAAACAGTAATTGGAGCCGAAGTCGTCGGAGATAGCTGAATAGAAAGAATATAAAAATGTTGGTAGAATGAGATTCGTTTTTTCTTTTCTTTTTTTCTTTCTTTTAAAGTAAAGTTTCATGGAAATAAATTTAGTTTCATTTGCATTCGGTCAAACGTTCCATGTAATATCAATCTATTCCTTTTGAAATATGATTTGCATAATAAATGATCTGACCCATACTACCTTTTTCGAAATTCAAATATGACCGCGCGTTTTCTTCAACTACAACGCAACTCAACCACTAAAAGCAGCAGCGAAAGCAAAAACAGAGAGAGAGAGAGAGAGAGAGAGAGAGAGAGAGAGAGAGAGAGAGAGAGAAAGAGAAGTCATTTATTTTACAATACAAAAGCTACCGCTGCTCATAAACATTCAATTCGTTCAAAATTTTCAAACTGGTAATATAAAATTGTCTGAAATTACCGGAACTACTACCTGCATGCATAATTTTGTTCGTCATCCAAAAAAAAGAAAAGAAAAGAAAAAAAAAATAATATTCGAAAGGACCTCAAGAATTTTCTACGATATTACTCGCTCGTTTCGTGCTTCCTCGGATCTTTTCTTACATATTTTTTTACTTTCATTTTTTATATTTTTTTCCTCTTCTTTTTTTTTTTTATTGAGGAACGAAGGAAGTAAGAAAAGTTCACGAGGATCGAATAATGCATAATAAAATGCAAATTGCGGTCTTAAAGAGTGGGGGGGAAGATGAGGAGGAGGAGGAGAAGAAGGAGGGAAAATACGTAAGCGTACTCACGAGGTCGTGCGCCTTGTGGCTTTTCCATCGGAACAGCCTGTCCATCTGTGCACGTTGCTGTTAAAACCAATCTCGGTTAACTTCCGCTATTCTTTGATCGTACAACAACCTAACATTTTCTTCTTCCTCTCAGATACCTCCTCTATTATCAATGTTATCGTATTACCGATCGATCTTACGGAAAGTCACGTGGACGCAGTTAACAGAAGTATCTCCCATTACTTCAACATTGACGGTGGATAAGAGGATATTATTTTTAAAAAACCACCTCATCGTACTTATTCTTCTTCTTCTTCTTCTTATCATTCAAACGAAACCGAACACTTTTCACAAAAACAAAATCCAATCATATCCTACGAATACAACAAATCGTCATCGCAAAATAATGAAACCGAGGATGTCCTCCTTTATAAATTCCATAGAACATGTCCAGTTTTAATTGTCTTATCCAACAAGTTTTGATTGTCAACTCTATGAGACAATTTGATTAAAGTTGCATACGTGATTTAGATTATTATCTAAAAATCGATCATCGTAATCGTTTGTTCTGAAAAAACTTGTTACAACAAACGCACGAAAAGGATCGACGAGGAGAGGAGGATTCCTCCTTGCCGTCGTAGTGGTACGAGTGGATACTGGATGCTGATCAGCGAGGGGATTCAACGTGGAGTCGAGCGGTGTTCTGTCCCTCGCCCTCTCTCTTACTCTCTCTCATTCTCTCTCTCTCTCTCTCTCTCTCTCATTTTCTCAATTCCCTCCTTGTGACGTTCGTATGCGCGCACACGTTCTCATCCTCTCTCTCACTCACTCACTCTAACACTTGCTCTCTCACTTTTGCAAAGAGGGATAGAACGCGTACTCGGCTCCTGCTGCCTTGAGCGCGCATGTGCGTCTATCGATTCTGTCGACTCTCTCGCAGGAGCCAACAGCTTTTTTTCCTGCTACAGCAAGAAGGAGGAGAGAGATCCTTCTCTCTCGTCCTTTGATCGAGGATCTCTCAGCGACGCCTCGAAATTTTCTCTTTCTATCTCTCTTTCTCTCTATATCCCTCCCCTTTCACCCGTTCTCATTCTAACAAATACCACGTATACACACGCGCGCGTGCACACACACGTATAATAATTCTGAACAATTTTTCATGAAACGACACTTTTGCGACGCCTAGAAATCTTTTTTTTCTTTTTGTTTTTATACTTTTATCGACAACATCACAATTTCCTTTTTTTTTTCCTCGTCGACTATACTCTCACGTATTTTTTTCCTTTTCATCGTTTCGTTGAGAAAAACAAACATGATCGAAATTGCTGTGTGTATGATAAAACAAAATTATTATTTACTTTGAAAAGATGTTTTCCCTTTTGTTTTTCCTCTTTTTTTTTTTTTTGAGGCGAAAAATTGGAACAAATATAAATCAACAACGATGACAACACCTCTACGAGAAAAAGGTGAAAAAGGGGGATGAATTAAAGCTCCTGTCGAAACGGGTGAAGAGTAGAGGACGGAGGAAAGGGGGAGGAGGTAAAACTGATGATGCCTCATCGAACGAGGATATTCGATGCAGTCACTCAGGTGCTGCATTGGCGTTCATTCGTGCGTACACACGTGCAGGACCGAGTATGCACTCTCACGAACCCAAAGTGAGAGAAAGAGAGAAATTGAGGGCTCATACGAACCCTTGTGAACGTAACTTCCTACCTAACAGCACATCCCACCCCTACCCGTACATTCCACTCCTTTGCGTAACTCAACAAACTGTCAACAATGTTTTTTTTTTCTTTTTCTGAAAACAGCCAAACAAATTACATTCGTTTCTTTATTTCAACAACAACTCCCCCCCCCCACCGCAGCACCCGCTCGTGCTACCTTTAAATCAATTTCTTCAAATACAATTTGTATCAGTGTAGGATGATATTCGAATGGAAATTGTTGTTGAAGTAAACTTGAATTTGTTCGCGTCTTGCGTGTTCTTCATCTCGAAATAGCCACGAAGAGTAGTCGCGACTTAGGGCAGCGATCCGTGCGTCTCACGCTGGAGGATATAATGGCAAAGATGTAATTATAGAATCGTTGCCAAGGGACAAGAGAGAGAAAGACAGAGAGAGAGAAAGAGAGAGAGTTGAGTAAGTCATCGAGTGAATCAGACTAACCCAACCAACAACTAATTGTTTTTATACTGATCATGATACTAAAACTTCGGATGACCAAGAAAACGATTAATTAGTTGAAAATATCTGAAAGGATAAAATCTTTAAAATATTACAACAGTACGAATGAGAAAGGTAAGGTTGCGTCTTAGCGAAAGGGTTCAACGATAATAAAAGGAACCTTTCATTAATTTTTCATGCAACTTTTTTCTTTACGCTTTTTCATACCTTCTTTTATTCTTATTCTTCTTTCTTTAAAACACACAATGGAAGGTACAAAGGTGATACGTATAATACATATAGCTTGGTAAAATTTGTCAATTCAGTTCGGCATATTTTTGTAATCTTCGTATCTCTAAAGAGAACATATAATATCTTTTTTGATATTCTCAAAGCTAGAATTATTCTACTCGTGGAATATTCCGAAGCATCGAGTAGAATTCGTCGATCCATCAAATAGTAGTGCACCGAACGTAAAGCCAACGTCGAATGTTTGTTGGCGGCATGTAACCCGTGTCTAGGATCCATCGACGATCCGTCAGCGTCTTCGTCGATTTCAACCAACGACAGAGAAATATGCGACGACGTCTCTTGTAACTGGCAGACACGTTCGAGGATAAACATCCGTCGCTAAGACGCATATTCACGTGTTACCTTACTCCAACCAACCATCCCATGCACAGTCCTCCTCCTCATCCTCAACCTCCTCTTTGCGTGCTTGCATATCCGGTACATCGTTCACGCACACAACCATAACTCTCAACTCGTACGTGTACAATCTCCGAGGACCCCAGCAATTCATCCATTTCTTCACCCTTCCCTTCCTACCCCCTCCCACCCCACCTTTTCATTTTTTTTATTGTTTCCTCTTCCAGTTATCTTCTTTCGTAGGATGCAAACGTTGCACTAAAGACTTGCACACGTGTTCGAGTGATACTCATCTCTGATCTTAGTTTGCACGGATAAGAACTTTCGTCGCTTACTTTCTGCCAACCAATGGAAAATAATATAATAAAACAATATGACGTATTGAATGACTTTTCGAAAGTATAAAATATCGACGAATATATTGGAGTTTTTATTGTCTTTTTAGTCTCGCTTTTACGAGCTCGAGTCACTTCTCTTATAATACCTTCTCAGACTATTCAATACTATTCAAAGAGGTCGCGTATTTTTCCTGTCTCTTTGGAGTCAACAGCACACGATTCCTTTTTTTTTTTGTTTTTTACTACGTTGCTTTATTTTTTAGTAATCTATATGGAACTAGAGGAACCAACCCAACGTGACTATATCGTTGAATATTGAATTTTTATTATTCCAAATTTTGTGAACCTAACGAAATATTGTTTGGATTGATTAAACAGTCGATGAAAATTTTGTTGATGTTATTAAACCCCTTTTCTATTGGGATGTGTTACTCACGAGAGAACGTAACCGTCCGGAAGTGAAGGTTCCTTTCAAAGTTGCCGCTTATCATCGTACATCGTACGATCTTTTGAGAGAACGAGGAGCATCCTGCTGCTCCAGTGAATTCTCTACCACCCATCCCTCTACTTCCCAAAACTTCGACCCTAATGTGTATCGTCTAGTCACCGACAAATTAACTTTCCCTGCAGTCATTAGAAGGGTACCAGCAGAGATTTCAGACGTTACACTAAACGATTACAATTATTAACGTCACTGAATTAATCTTTCCGGAGTTAAAATGTGCGTTAACAATTTCTTCATCATTTTTATATATCAAATCAACCTATCTATATTTAAATTGATCTCCAAAAAAAAGAAAAAGGAAAAATATTATAAGACAAAATGATTAAAATCAGTTTTCAAAGGATCGTCTTCTTCGTTTTTAAAGGAAGCCCGTCCACTGTAAATTTGATTGGAATGAAAAATTTGCTCATCAAGACTTTGAAACACTCGAGGAAGCTTATCCAACGGCACATCTCGCGATCCTAGCTGGGATCGAGAAACGCCGTGTCAGCCGGTTTGATAAATTAGATCGGATATCTTCGAAACCCTCCGAACCTGCCACCCTAATATTCATCGTGCCAACCCAAAGCATCCACCACTACCACAAACTACTAAGGCGAGCCCTTATTCTGCTTGCCACGACGATATACCATACAGCTACGTGATTAATCGTGCGATACGACAAAACCGGTGACATATTGATTTCGTAAGCTTTTATGGGGATGCCATGGATATTCAAATTTTTTTTAAAACCCTAAAGAATCATCATCTACTTCCTTATTCTAAATGGAAAATCAATTGGATCAGATTTGTGATCGATCATTTTATCTAAAAGTTTGATACATTTATGATAACCTTGAAAAAAGTTCTTACATTGAGTGAATAAGTTCGATGGAATCTTTGATCGGTAAATTTTCTTCAAGAAAGATAAATGTTTGATAAAGTACGAAAGAGTTTCGGTATTTAGTTTGACTTTTCTTCTTTTATTCTCAAACTTATCTAATCGTTTATGAAGCTTTTGGAAGATTAAATATTTTTTGAAAGAAATCGTACTAGCGTACAGAAAGCTTTGTATTGTTTATCAAAAGAATTCATTTTATAAATGCATCACACACACACATACATACAAACACTGTTTCTGTCATTCGCAAATACGATTTACCATATCAAATTTCATTTCGATAAGTATGGTTAACATTCGCTCATACTTTTACGTAAATATATATACTTCTATCTAACCTGAACTCGAACTATTATCCAATGACTGATAAAAGAAGATTTAATAATGCTAATGGACACGCGAACCCTTTTGCCAAAGAAATAAAAGAGAAAAAATGCAATGATAAAAATATGATTTAAATATTATATTTTACCTACATAAGTGGCTGTTCCAACGTAAATGAACTTCCCATATTTTTGTTAAATACAAATCATATAAAAAATATAATATCGAATGTAAAAAAAATGTTCTTTTTTCCACGAGTTCTAATTATGAAGATAATTAATTCTGACAAAAACTGTCATGAAACTCAGCCGCCCCGTCAGTCCTTGATCGTTACGTCATCCCAGTTTTTATTTTTTGAACGTTTGCCAAAAGATAGGATGGAAAATCCTTTGAATATTTTTTCCTTTTTTTTTTCTTTTTTCCCTGTCACATTTCGTTTTCTCTTCTTTGCTTTTCTGTAGGAAAAGAAGATGAGTAGTTACCGGTTTTTGGTGTAACCATTCTTGTTCGAGTTGGCTCGAGATTCGATGAATCAAAAGTCAACTCCAGTTTTTTTTTTCTACTCGTGTGCAGTAAGACGTGAACGTACATAAAAACCTTAGATCAACTTCTTCCTTTTTCTTTTCTACCTTCCTTATGTAATAAAAGAAAAAAAAAGAAAAAAAAAGAAGAATGTTGAAGACAAAGAGAAATGTAATGAGAAGCAAGAAAGAAAGAAGAAAAAAAAAAAAGAAAATGGATTTTTAATTGACCAACCTTTTAATCTTTTCAGTCAGATTTTAATAATCTACTAAGTTGGTCGTTTATTTAATTTAAAAAAAAAAAAAAAAGATAGATTTTTAATTGATCCAACCCTTCAACCTTTTCAGCTTGGTTTTAATAATCTGCTACTACGTCGTTTGTTTGAAATCGTCCTTCATACTGAGAGATTCAAAATTATATTCGAAAGAATACGTCGAGACCTGCTAACGATAGCCATTGTTCTTTCTCGTCCTTGAAGATGCTTGATAAAATGAAGAGACGATTCAAATGAGCTGAGAGATGATAATTATAATAGTATATTTGTTTCTAAACGAAATGTTAAATTAAAAAAAAAAAAAAACAAAAAGAAGACATCATTTGTTTAATAATAACAAAAAGAAATCAGAATAATCGATCGATTGTAATATGCAAAATGAAATTAATTCGTTTATTATAAAAATAAATTAATCATGAACGAGGACTCCAAAAAAATATTAAAATAAATCGAGAAAGGAACGAAGACATTATACACAATTTTTCGGACACTTAACAAAAATTTTCGTAGTCTTGGTTAATTATAAAAAAAGAAAAAAAAATTAAGTCATAAGAGAGAACTTAACAAAATATTTTTCGGACACTGACAGTAGTCTTCGACAATTGGGTTGATATTGAATTGCAATTGCAGACAGAATTGGTTCTTTCGAGAAAATGGTATAGTTAAATAACCAAGAAAGAAGATAAA